CCCGGACCCGGTGGCTTAAACTCACGCTGGATGCGTGTGCGTGCGTGCCCAAGATCCCAAGAGGAGAATGGAGGTAAAGAGATTGCGGTGTGGCCATCCCCCCTTGGGGGTGATTTCTCACTCTCTGTCTCTCTGTCTCTCTCTCTGTCTGTCTGGCAAGTGCACACGCCCTATAGCAAAAATCTCTCAAAAAAATTTTTTTCCCCTCTTCTTTCTCGTTCATTTTTCATACGCACCAGCTCTATTGGTGTTACATATTTTACAATATGATTTCTTGGCTTGCCACAAGGCTTGCTTGTGTGAGAAAGAGTTGAATTGCCCCTGCTGTGGTCAAAAGATTAACCTGACCTTTGGAAGGCAAAATAACAGGACCAAACGAGTAGGCAGCACTCTTTACCTGAAAGGAGTTGAAGAAGAGCTCACAGTGCATGCGGACCTGCCACCCGAACCCCGTGAAGGAGTGGGGCAGGCACACGAACACAATGTAGTGCATTCCGAAGACCAGGACCAGCACCAGGGTCGATTTGGCAAGTTTCCTGAAGAAAATGACAAGCCTTTTGATTAATAACTAGAGTGCCTTTCAGAAAGACAGCTTGGTGGGAAAAATAAACCTTAGCAGAGTTGACAGTGGCTGGCACACCCCATTCCTTTGCATTTGACTGTTACTGCTAGTTTCCTCCTCCCTCCTCTTCTTGGTTCTTTTATATTAAATCAGGTAGTTTACTCTCATTTCACATCATTGTTATCTCATAAATCTCTCTAATCTCTTTCTACTATTCGTCCTTAAAGGATACCATTTTCATAAAGTTGTGAAACATTCTTTTCTTCTATTCTAAGTTTTGTTTGCTTTTGACTTTTTTTTTTTGTAGGGTACCTGTGTTCATCAGAGAGATAGAGATAAAGAGAAAGGGAAAGTTAGAAATCACCCCAAGGGTGATGACCATGCCACAGTCTCTTCTCCCTCCCACTCATCTCTTGGGATTTTGAATGCACACACATGTGCCCAGCATGTTTTTCAAGCCACGGGGTCCAGGTCTCAAACACCCTGCTAGCCATGTGGGATCCAGTGCCTGAACCACCATGCTACCAGTTGGCCCCTGTTCTAAGCTTTAACATCTACGTTTGAAACTGAAAGATATATTACCTCAGTCTATGTTAACCACCTTTATTTTCATAGGGAGCATTTCACCTTGTTTTGTTCATTTTAAAATCAACTCTTCTCTTTTTTCTTCTTACATATGGATCTTCCCTTATCATTGATTACGCTTATTTTTTGAGACATTATGTATTTTTCCTTGAGCTACATGTAGTCAATTCCTTGTGCCTCCTCTCAATATTTTCTGTTGAATACTCTATCTAAAACTGTTTGATCTATTTTTGTCTAGTTTTTTTTTTCAAACTGAGTAATTTCACATCATTTCCCTTAACTGAACTTTTATAGACATATTCTTGTGTATGTGGAGGAATCCTAGTTTTTCCAGGATGATGGTTTTATTCAGTGATTCCCGATGATCCTCACTTTCGGCTATTTTTACTTGTGTCAGTCCTTTCCTCTTGAGTAGGACCAGACCTGGAACTTGTGCCTAACCAACAGATAGAGGATGGGATGCCACTTCTGCAATTTGCCAGGCAAGGTTGTAACTTTCGTCTTCCTAGCAGATTCTCTCACTTGGTTCGATGATGCAAGCTGCCATGTTATGTGATGTTCCATTGAGAAAACCATGTGGCAAGGAAAGGTGGCATCTGGACAACAGCCATCAGGAAACTGAATCCTGCCAACAATCATGTGAGCTTAGAATTGGATTCTCCCCCAGTTCCATCGTAAGACCTCAGCTTCTCCTGACATCTCAAAGCAGTCTTTCAGGAGACCCTGAAGCTGAGCACCATGCCCATGTTCCTGACCTCCAGAAACTGTAATATAGCAGACATATTGCTGGAAACCACTCAGTTTGTGGTAATTAATTTCACAGCAGGAGATAGCTAGCACACCCAAGCATGCCATTTTCTGGGTTTTTGGTTTTAGTGGGGTTTTCTGAAATGCTTTTTTCTTCAAGAAATTGCTGATTCTGGCTTCTACCCCTAAATTTTCAAATAGCCCTCTTTATGAATCATTTATGCCCCCAATAATTTCAGACACTTGTGACCTTCTTCCTTGATCACTAATCTCTCTTTCCTCCAGCAGCTTTATTTTGTTGGTTTCTTTTTCATTTCTAAGGAAGCTGCGTGGATGAGTAGAGATCACACTGGATTAATACCACAGAGGACTGGACTCAGGTTCCAGAGTTGGCATTGACTACCTGTGCGATGATGGTTCCATTTTCTTATCTCTAATGGGGCCCAGGACTTTACAAGAACTCTAATATCCTGACTTTACTAAGGGTCATCTTCCACATATATCCACTTTCCTGGTATAACTCTCTCTTTAATTCCTATAAGAGCTGGACTCTCCCACAAAATCATACAAAAACATCTAATTTATGTATCTGGAGTCACACGTTTTCTCCACCTCATTTTCTTTGCCTCTCCTATCTCTCACTGGTGTCTGGGCCATCTGCTCTTCTTGGCTCAGGACCACTGGCCCTGCCTCATATTCATAGTCTCCCCTGTAGCCTATGGGTTTTCTGCTATGCTGCTTCTATACTTCACACCTCGTACTTTCAGTTACCTACAGTCCACGTGCTCTAAAAATTTCACTTTGAGTTGGCTTTATTCAAGGCAGCATACCTGATCTACGTGTGGGTTTTCTGATCTAACTAATCCTTCCAACTTTCAGAGCTCCTTGAGATGTGCTTGTTCTCTCCTGCATCCTGACTAGGGAGGACCCTCTTTCTATCACTAATTATATGGGGAGACAACTTTTAATACCTTCAGGGAATTTTTATGGTGTATATAAGCAAATAAAAGGGGATGGCACTAACTGCAAAACACTAAATATATATATACGTGTGTGTCTGTGTGTATTTTTAGAATATCTGTCCTCTTTGCTATCATACTGCTTAATAGAAACTGGTTGGAGAAGGGATTGCAGCATGGC